GAATTCTTCAAGCAACAGTGCTGAAGCAACTGGTTTCAAATTTGTTTCATAACTTATGTCAGCATATTTTGGAGCCGACAAATACTGGGAAAGTTCATCTAAGGAACTCTTTTTGTCATTAAATTGGAACTTCAAAAAACTAAACTTGTGAGCATTCCTATCTGAGGGAATGAATGTTAGGTCTTTCAATATATTAGCCCAGACTTCATCTAATTCAGAGATCATTTTGGGGAAAATATCTGCCCAAGAAAGTGTAATAGCACCTTCTAAAAACAATGAATGATGACCCACAGTTGCTTGGCCTTCCTGTCTCTTTGTAAGTGTCGAGAGATCAGGAAGTTTAGAAACATTTTCATAAAATACCTTGAATAAGGAATCCACAGATTCAGATGTGGATGAAAACAAAGAAGACTTAGATCTTACCAATGTTACCCAAGGCCTGTTTGGATCATCCTTACACTCAATGTTCTCCATCAGCTGATTGGCAGTCAACAGCAACCTGTTTCCACTCATAGTAGCCAACACTTTTGCCCCAGGTGGAAGTGGCTGCCAAAATGGGGACAGGATGAAGTCAGTCTCAACAGGTTCTCCCTGATCTGGTAACTGAACACTATTATTAGAGCCAGCTTCCTCATCCTGATCCTGGAGTCCACTAAAATCAGACTGACTAGGTTCTTGTAATCTTCCTACTGTCTCATTATCTTGAATATCCAATAACCTACTTTTCTTAGCAGAAGCAGGTTGGTCTAACTGGGGATTAAGTCTCTTACCTATCACCCATAATTCTAAACTTTCTGCCAACTTGGGATCTTTCCAGTGCTTTACATTTAGAAATTTACTCTTCAAGGCTTTAGTCCATCTATTTTTAAGTTGGATCTGCAATAATTCATTCTTATCTCCTGCAGCTTGATTAATTTTAAAAATTTGATCATAACAAACTGCACAAACAAGTTGTCTGAAACACAGCAGCTATGATTATGCAAGCAAAATGAGGATCTAAATTGGTAATCCAAGTGGCTCTACATCCTTCATAATTACATGTAGTATGGTCCCCTTGGGTCCTGGGTGAAACTACAGTACTAATACTGAATTCACATCCTCTACTGACGGACAATTCCTTGTATGTAGTGTATGAGATGAACTCCCCAATCCTTTTAGCTCATCACTCAACACTAGTTCCCCAGGAAAAGTTCCATGGTCTCTTCCATCATCCAGCAGTCCAGACAACTGTCCTTCATCCTCCACTTGCACATCACCTATCTAAACTAGGAGGAACACTATGAGTCACATTGTATCATCATAATAATACAAGGTAGATAACATTATCTCCCAAACATAACCAATATGACACGTAACTGTGTAATTTTAGCAAGTTATTTCATTTAATATCTCTTGTTATATGAGTCACCAGTGTGAAAATCATAAACAACTAACTTACTATGTCATACACCTCTCCCTTCTCTTATCTCAATTATCCCTCAGCTCAATGAACTTTGTTTCTTAATCAAGCTAACTTCATTTAGAGCACTTATATTTTGAGGGATCACCAAGTTTTCTATTTGTTGCCAATCAGGGTGCACTAACATCACCGCTTCAACTAACCATACTTGAGCGTTGATGCCCGAGTGAGCATAAAGTCACCCGGAAGGGTTGACAGTGCTGAACTGCTACCATAGTGCTCCATTGGCTAACACCGTTAACCATTACTCTAGCAAGATGTATTGGGCTGAGAATTCCACCCTGAATGGTTCTCATATAACCCATAATGAGGATACAAGGTTCATCCCAACATAACTCTAGATTGCTAGTAAGACCAGAAGGTCAGCGTCCGGAAGGATCACTAAAACAAGCAGCCTTGGTAAAGTTCGCCTGGATAGGCTAAACCCACAACTGAGGACATTAATAAAATAGAGCTATGAAGACTTAACTCTGTCCTGCATGCTGAGAGTAATCAGAAAACCCAGGGCGGAAGCCAGAAAAGTTTCTTGAACGAACATGACAAGAGGGAAAGGGATGGCCACATATATAATGGTACAGTGGTCCCTCGGTTAACAAGATTTTGATTAACGAGTTGCCTTCCATAAGATTTCGGTTAACGAGCAATCCCTCGATTAACGAGTTTCTTACGAGCCGACCTGAACATGTTTTCGCTTGCATTTGGCAGTCCACCAACTGTAGTATTAGTCCGCCAATACAGTAATCGGTTCTAGGGCTTAAATTCCTTACCATTTTAGCAAATATCAAGAAGTTTATACTATTCAATAATTTTGAAAGTTTAATATTAAATTTTTTAGCCATTTTAACAATTATTGAACATAATTGAAGGTAATGAAACTAGTTTTATGCGCGCCATCTAGCCTCTCAACACACCATACAGGCGTCAGTCTCTCTGTCTTTTCAGTGGAGGTAACATCTTGCTTGAGACTCTCTTCAACTAAATGCTTTTTTTCTGTGCTTGCAAGCAAATTATTGGTCATTTTGAAATTTATTTTACATATTGACAATATATAATGCAGTGCAGCGTTGATTTAAAGAAAATAATCTTGAATTACACACAGAGAACTAAAATTTTATGGGTGAAATGGCGCCATGGGGTGACTTCTCTTCCACCCCAATGCCTTCTGTTCTCCCTTCTCCTCTACCCCCCTTTCTAATTCCCATCATCATCATCCAGGAGCCTTCTACATACACACCTCAAAGTAAGTGTACTTTTCTACTTTTTTGTTGAATTTAGGCAATTTTCGGTGAGCTGGAACCAATTACCCAAAAACCCATTGAAACAATGGTTTCGGTTAATGAGTTTTTCGGTTAACGAGCAACCTTCTAGAACGGATTCTGCTCGTTAACCAAGGGACCACTGTATTCATTACTTGCACGTATATAATTGGAATTTTTTTTATACAGTATATATATATATATATATATATATATATTTTTTTTTTTTTTTCAGTGTGAAAACGAGCCCGGAAGGGCATAAAACAACATCATTCACTAAGTGACTTGAAAGCCGAGGAAATTAGTCACCAAAGATCGACTGTCTTCCTAGATATAGAAGACGAGCTGTGGTCGCTATGCTTGACCAGACCGTATAAAAAATTGCCCCAAACACAATATCTGAGAGACATAATCAAAATAAAAGTCACTCAATTATCTCACCGTGCTAAGATGTATAAATACCAGAAATAAAATCCTCGTGGCACATAATATTTCAGCAATTACAACACAAATTAACGGAGCTTTCCTTGTGCGTATTTACAGCTGATTCGCCAGGCAAGAGGATGACGGTAGCAATGCGTGTGACGGAGGGTGCGGGAGGGGGTTTTGAGAATTGCAATTAAATGCCAGGTAGAGACGTGTCCTCCTAACATTACGTATTTAAGTAATTATTAGATGTTTTAATTGCCTGTATGTTGGCCTGGTGAGTTAATGCTAGGCATTTACATACCCAGGTAAAAAGCTAGACATCTCATTCTGGATTGAACAAACAATGTATGTACAGTAATATCTCCGTTAGCCGGAATCCCTCGAACCCGAAACTCTCCAATAGCCGGAATTTAAATTTTTTCTGAAAATCATTCCCAAAGCCGGAATTTCCGGAAAATTACAGCTTTTCAGGAAAGATTTTGAGGGGATTTTCCGGAAGAGTCCGAAAAAAAATTCCCGGTACCCGGAAATTTCCTGGGATGGGGGAGTTTTTTCTGGGTTTGAGAGCTGAAAATCAGGCTCATTTTCAGGAAATTCCGATAAAAGTTTTCCATTACCCGGAAAATTCAGGGGATGAGTGATTTTTTCTGGGTTCAAGAGATGATGTAATGAGCGATTTCTGGTATGTGTGTGGCATTGTTTTGTGAAATATTTAACAAAACAGAATAGGTATACTATCATTTATTCTCTAAATGCTTTCACACTTTAAATGTTTTCTTATCTATTTCACAAAAGATTTGCTACCACATTCACTATTCCTTTTAAGCCAGTAGCCAAGAAGTGTAAACACCAGTGACATAAAGAAATACATGGATAAGGGTTAAAAAAGGACCCATCCTCATGTGTGCCGCATACAGGAACTGCACGTAGTCTTATCATGGTCAATACATCTTCAGGATAATTATCATAAACTACGAAAAGGAAAATAGGAAGTGGCACATCTAGGCCATAGTTGTTCAGCACAATACAGTACTAACAAAACTATCATATCTTACAACCTATCATTCTAGGACAACTCACAACTGTTGAGTAACACTCTAACCCTTATCTTAAAATTCTTTGTACTGCACTGTAATCATGGAATTAGGTCCAAAGCAAACATCACACTCATCAGGATGCTGGAGAGGATAAAGTAAAATGAAAGTGAACATGCAGCATTTAAAAATGCAAGTGCATTTATATTTGAACCCAAGCTTAGTTCATGATTAACACATAATATGGGCGATAAATTGCAGGTAAAGGCGAATGAACCAGGTGACATTTATTCAACAAAGCCAGACAGTAGATTAATACAGGCAGTCCTCACTATTCATTTCTCTTTTTCATTGTTGTTCATGCCACAGTTAGAAACATTGGGAAAGTATTAGTTTAGATGTGAAAATGGATGTGTTAAGCCATTTTGAAAAAGGGAATGAGATGTGGATAGTGCTATAGCCAAAGCCTCAATGTTAAACATGGTTTCTGTTATTTTCTAATTTTTCTGCTTGATAACAATAATAATAATAATAATAATTACAATAAAAGAGCATTCCTTGTGCTTTTTTTGTGTTTCTAGGGATAGGAAAGCTTTCATCTTCCACAGAGAAGTGGCTAAATGGTATAAACAGACATGGACTGAGATATAGAGATATACAGTAATGTAATGATACAAAAACAGCTGAACAGACCAATGGATAGAGAGAGATGAATAGCAATGAGAGGAAATCTTATGAAAATTAATGATATAAAAATGGAAAATGATTGAAGACTGAAACAAACTGCACAAAAATTTGGCATGTAAAGACACTTTATCTTACCTTTGGTGTAGGAAGGGTCAAGAAGGCCATATGTTGTCTTGTTTATCAGTAAAGTCATGTAATCTGCAGGAGAGAGGATGCCAACAGTCAGTATGGAGGGTATTAAGCATACAATCACAGGATGTGTAACACTGTTGGTAAGGGACATTACTCAAAGGTAAAAAAAAATTGTTCGTGGAAAACTCTACAACCGAGGTCACAGAAACTACTAGTGCAGGAAACTGTCAGAGATAACTTTTTAGGGGCAAAAGTGTTGTAAACTTGTGGAATAATGTGCCAGAGAATGTTACAACTACTCCAAGTATAGGAGAGTTAAGTACAAAGCTCACATAGTCACCTTAATTTCCTGTTTTGCAGAAACAATGATGAACAAAAATATCCCCAGAATATGGAAAAGGGAATTTGTGAGTCCTATACTGAACTGTATTTAAACAGAGTCCATCACTGTATGAACAATTACAGACCACTGAGTTTGGTCAGGATATGTAAAGTACTAAAAAGCATTATAAGCAATGCTGTATGTATACTGTACCAATAAGTGTGAAGAATAAATACAAATATAATAATAAATAAAATAAAAGAAAAAACTACTGCATTCCAATTTGACAATTGTTTGACTCCACATGGGCACACGAGACAGCGAACATCTGAGAGAGCCCCACACCGCTCCCCCCACCCCCACTTAATTTTTTCTTTTTTGCACATTATGTATGAACAGTCGGCCTATAATGTGATTAGGATACTGCTTTCTTTTATCAGATAGAAATGATAAGTTGTAATATCTTTCAATGAGAGATACAAGCACTATAACCCAGGAAAGACTGCTTTAAATAACTAGAAAAATATACAACATGAAAAATAAATGACAATTTAGCCACTGACAGCCTGAAAATGAGAAGACTGAGTAAAGCAATGTTTACAACTGACCACTGTAGTACAGCAGTGTCACACATAAGGAAATTATGTGCACAAGAAATGCATGCTTGTACTGTACAGAAATATCTCCGTTAGCCGGAATCCCTCAAACCGGGAGCTTTCCGATAGCCGGAATAGAAATTTTCTTGGAAAATCGTTCCTAAAGCTGTAATTTTCCGTAAAATTCCGGCTTTGGGAACGATTTTCCGAGGTGCACATTTCCCGGAAAGTTCAGAGAAAATGTTCCAGATACCCGGAAAAATTTGGGGATGGGGGAATTTTTTTCCGAGTTTGAGAGATGAAAATCAGGCGCATTTTCTGGAAATTCAAAGACAAATTTTCCGTTACCCAGAAAATTCCGGGGATGAGGGATATTTTTCTGGATTCTAGAGATTATGTAATGGGCAATTTCTGGAACTTCTGAGAATTTTTTTCATTACCCGGAAGTGCTCTGCACCAATAGTTCCGGCAAAGGGGATATCACTGTATTTGGTATCAAAATAACATTTTCTCTACAATCAATAAACCACAAGATAGTTATTTATTTTTTATCCTTTCAACGAAATGTGTCAAGGAATGAAAACTTAGCATTGAAAAAACTTACCTCCTAAATGTTGGGATTGATTGGAGGTTTCTGTCACATTCACTGTGGAAATGATAAATAAGTTCAGCTTTATACAGGTTGACAATCCCTTATCCGAAATCCTTGGGGCCAGAGGCATTTCGGAATTCGGAATTTTTCGGTTTACAGAATGGTTAGTTTTTTTTTTGTGTGTGTGTGTATTAGCCCACTTGGGCTCAAGTCACTGACCCACATTTGGGCCTGGGGGCGAAAATATTATTATTATTATTATTATTATTATTATTATTATTATTATTATTATAATAATAATAATAATAATAATAATAATAATAATAATAATAATAATAATAATAATAATAATAATAATAATAATAAAATAATAATATAATAATAATAATAATAATAATAATAATAATAAATAAAAAATAATAAATAATAATAAATAATAATAATAATAATAATAATAATAATAAATAATAATAAATAATAATTCTTAGGTCTAGGCCGTTTCTCACTTTTATCTTTTTCATTCTTGTATATCTTCATTATTAGTATTTTATTATTACAGTAATATTGTTATTATTATTATTTATTATTATATTTATTATTATTATTATTAATTATTATTTTATTTTGGTGTATTTTGTATTAAATTTTTATTTACTATGAATAATTATTATTATAATTATTATTACTATTACTTTCACCCCCAGGCCCGGTGGATCAATCCTGTTATGGGGAAAAAAAAAAAAACTTTCCGTTCTCAGAGCTTTTCGGTTAAAGGTTGTCAACCTGTATATATATATATATATATATATATATATATATATATATATATATATATATATATATATATATATATATATATATATATATATATATATATTATACAGTTATTACCCACTTACGA